GCCCGTTGCCAAACCAAGACCCCCGCTTTCCCCTGGTGGTTACATAATACTTGAATAGCTCCTTAATTAACATGTGTTTGTTTAGAGCACGCACGGCCAGTTAAACAGGCATGTCTGAATCGATTTCCTTCATCATTCTTAGCAATTTGATGTGCATTTTTATTGTTATGTGTTGCAAACAGACATTTTAGGAACTAAATAGGTTCTAAAATCTTTGTACACAAGCGCACTTATTTTTAACAGTTTCCAGTTTATGTAATATTAATCAAAACAGCTTTTATTTATTTTATGTATTATGTGATTTCTGGAAGCGTCGAATACAAAAAAGGGCTGTGACTGGGTTTATGTAATTTGAAATTGTATTGATGATTACTAATAATAATAATAATCGACACAACTAAAAATTTCATATATTTCAGTAGAGCCAATTAAAGATTTTTTGTTTCGTAATTTAGCAATAATATGTCTTGGAACGTAATTATATGCAGTCATACTGTAAGCTTTCAAATTATGTATTTTTCTAAACCTGAAATTTTGAATTGTGCCGTTATTGCAGAGGACCAGCGACATATGTTAGGGCTACTCCTGCGATTGTGGCATGCGCCTTGGCGTTGTCGCACAAAGGGGAGGGACCTACAGGTTTACGCCGACTCCTGCCGGGGGCCGACCACTATTACAAAAAACATTTTCTTTTTTTTTTTTGGCCGGAGCTGGGCTCGGACGCTCACCCTGCGGAATGGTAGTGCGCACTTCTAACCACTACACCACAGCGATCGCTTAATTAATTTTAATCATCAATCGCGATTAACCACTTATTCGTTAATTTTTAGTCATTCATAGACTAACATTTTGTCGACAATACTCGCATAAGATAGTCCCAAATTTTCACAAAAGAGAAAAGTGATTTTCTTCAAAACTTTTGAATGACGTCTTGACTGAACTTACTAATTCGGAATTTCTACTATTACTTATAGAGTAGGCTATTCATAAAGTCTGGGTAATGAAATAAAAATTTTTCTATTATAAGTTCCATAAATATAAGGAGACTTTTATTGTTTAATTTATTTTTTGCACATAAACTTGTATCTTGAACTTCTTTTTCCAAAAAGTGAGGATGTCAAAATTTCAATAGATATCGGATGTACGGTAATTTTCCAAAGAGATCTCCTAATAGATAAGTTCATGAAAATTATTCCAAACGAAAACTTAAAATTGATAAAAAAAAATAATAACTAAATTTAACTAATTTATATTAGAGGTTTGAAGTTTATCCCACTGTAAGTATGAAATCTTCAGCTATGTGTTTCCATTGTCACTTTTTCGTAGCCATATCAACAGCCTGACAATTAAGAAGATTGTGACGTTTCATGCTACCATACGCAATATTTTAAATCCTTCAAATTTTATTATTAACCTTTTGTTTGTTAAAAACATTTTCTTCTTAGATTCGAAACTTGATCAAGCAAAATTGCCTTTGTGTTTGACTAAGAGATGCTCAATAAGCTCAGAATTGTAGTTCTCATTTGCATACATAACAATAAATTATTAATTTTTGTTTCACACCAACTCCAATATTGAATAGTAAAATATATTTTAATCTTACCCAAATAAACAACGATTTAGTTCAATGGTCAATCACATATAGAGTATAGGGTGGTAATGTGTTAAAGTTTTAAAGTTTTTAAACGTAAAATTACAGCTAATACCTTTTTAAGCGTTTTGTAATTTAACCAAAACTCATTAGCATCCACTCAAGCAAGGAATTACTTACTTTTCAACATGCATTAGCAGAGTGCACTTCTCTTTTGTTTACAATTTGGTTGTCAAACACACTACATCGGATCTTTTGCCAGATTTACCAGAATTTTCCACCAGGTAGCTTCTGACAAAGAGATGACCTTACTTACTCTCTTATCTGTCCTCTCAGTTGCCAGAAAACCAAGTACGATTTCCGGTAAAATCTGGAAATTCTGGTAAAAAATGGTAATTTCGGACTCATGCGGGTTCACAACTAAATAATATTGGGAATACTTTTGAGGTGTTTGAAGAGGGTTGCGACCTGTTTGAAACTAAATTTATTTATAATAATCACATTTTGGCCTTGACACTTTTGCTAAGTTTTTGCCGAGCTTCTCCTCCGATTTGTAGCGTGCGCCTTTGCTGTCACACAAATGGGAGGGACCTACAAACTTACGCCGACGCCGAACGGCGATACAATTTTTATGATGAGCTATTTTTTGATTAAAGACACTAAGATTTTTAAAATATTTTCAATAAAATTTTATCAACCTAAATGTAAAGCTTATGCGAAGTAGTTATCTAATTTAATGTAAATTTTAAACATTTTCAAGATAAAACATGAATTATATTTAAAACGTAAATGTAAATACAACTGTTTTATATATAATCCCAAACAGATGATATAAAATCCCCTCTACCAAAAAACTTAAATTGGGTAACGCCGGTTTGAATTTTTACAATTGAGCAATTGTCAAAAATCTTCCTTTTTATCAAAAAGTTATTTACCAGGGTGTCTTTGAACTAATGATTGGTACTGAGTTAAAGAATGCACACACATAAAAGATTGCAGCCTTTTCAATACTCATTCAGTGTTAAACCTTTTTTTGATTGGGCATTGGTTTTTTCAATCTTGCTATGAATATGTTGATGTGTGAATTCATAACTGCTTTGAGAGAATGGAAAATTCAAAAATTTTAAACCTCAATCCTAAGCGAAGAATAAGTAATGAAAACTGGATAGAAAAAAATTGTTGATTTAAAATTGAAAATGATTTCACACTTACACAGCTCTGGAATACGGATACCATCCATGCTCAAATGTTGTTGTTGTAATTTTTAGAGCTTCACAAAAACGCTTTTTGCACGAGAACTAATAAAGCCATTTCAAAGAAAAAAGCGGCGTTTCAAAGATAAAATTCTAAACCTATCGCCAGATTCATTTTTGTAAGTCATCGTTTCGGTTTCTGTCGTAGAAACAATGGTAAATATTGACTAATTTTGGAGTCGTTTTCGGAATATGAGTTATTTAGAGCAATAAAAATATTACTGTATATAAATTTTATATACATAGATTCCAAAAAATTGAGAATTTTAAGGCAAAAAGTTGTTGAAAAGATTTGATAATTTTTTTATTACCAAAATACTCGAAAACCGAAACTCTGTATAACTTCTCGCTGTTAGGGTAAAAAAAAAAATTGAATGGTTTTGCTGTGTAGAGCACTTCAAAACAGGAAGTTACTGAGCGGCAAAGTCACGGGTATAAAACCGCACGACGAGATAAAACAAATGTATTGGATGTCTCACGAAGGGTTAAGTAAATGTAGGAGGATTGCCACCTGTTTACAAAGTTAAATTAAATATATGCAATAGGTTAAAAAAATTAATTCAATCAAAATTGCTTTGAAGAAACTAACTACATGTAGGATGGTTGCCACTTGATTTAAAAATCAATTCAACTTGATTTAATGGAATTAGGAACAGTCAAAATCGGACCACTATAACTTATAGCTCCCATACAACTGACTGAATTACAACAAGTTTACCTGCGTGCTTTGGCTTGAGCAAATTTTTCGATGGCTTCGGACAAGCCAATCTGCGTTGATGAACTGCAATTTCGAATAACTTCGCTCCCTGCTGACAAGTCACTGGCAAAGTTAGAAAAATCCTGAGAGAAACAAAAACATTAGGGAACACAATAATTTCCAATAGCCGTTTCATCGCTGCAGATTTAATATATCGTAATTGTTTGAACTCTTCATAAAGCTTCAATCCATTTATGTCCGATTTCTCTTCAGTTGTGAGAGGGGCGCTCAACTTTCGACATTTTGACAACATTTAGAACCCCGACTCGATCTCCTTTGTTTTGTAAATAACTGATATTTATGATGTTGATTTCAAGAGTTTGGAGTAGAAGCTTAGTCACTCTCCACCAGTCGATGAAGAAAATTTACATTCGAATATTTATGCAATAAAAAAATTAAACGCCATACCTTAATTTTGCGCCCGCCTCAATTTGGGGCCCAGGGAAACCGCCTCGTCCTAAAGCCAGCCCTGCGCTTAACTACTTTTTTAGTTTTTATTCTGCATTGTATTTTATTGTTGTAAACTGAATAAGAAATATAACCACATAACCAGAAAACCTGATAACCAGGCAAGCGTGAACAACTGCATTGACTTTAAATAAGCTCGATTGATGCAAAAGTTGGAGGAGTCCGTTATGTTAAAAAAAAAATGGAAAACGCGTAAATATGTATGAACTCTAGGGTAGATATTAAAATATTCACTATGGGCGCTGAGCAGTTGCGAAAATTTCTTATTGTAATTAAAAAATATTAATCAGAGCATAGAAACCACTTTTAATTTACAACTGGAAGCAATGGTTTTTTTATGAAGTGCAACACGTAAGTCCACTTCCATTGCTGACAGCATTGGTTCGGTGGACGCTAAAAAATTGGAACTCAATAAGTGATCTTCAATAGAACCAGTAGTTTCTGTGCTATTGGTTAGTTAGATTATACATAGCTGAGATTCTCAAGTTATGGTAAAGGTAAAACCACGAAAGCGAAGTTATCAATACATTGAAATGTTAAATTATAATCTCAAGTGTATATGTCGTCTGCTAGTCACATTTAATCGACTCAAGTGCTAGAAAAAAAGCGAATGAAAACAACATATACATTATACATTTTGGGGGATTTGGCCGACTTCATTTGCCTAGAGGAAACTGTGTGCATTGCAAGACTGGTGCGATCCGCTGAGTGTAGAAAACAAAAACGAAATACGGAGTACAAAGTGATTTGGTTTTGAGCTCGTGTTAGGTGCGATAAAATGAGAGAAGAAAAAATTATAA